TGCAGATCTTTCTGGTTTCTAACAGTGAACAAAACATACAGGATTCTTTTAGCTTCCAGAACTTAGAGTCTCACAGGCAGAGGTAGGCATGAAACAAAACAAGAACATATACACTATAGGCAAGTGGTGGAAAGAGCTGGAAAGAATGTAGAAGAGGGTTTACACTTTCAATTATGGGAGGAAAAGGGCAGCTGCTCTGCAAGGTGACATTTTAGTAATGTCCAGCCTGTGATTAATCTTCCAGGATTTTCTTAAAGACGCAATATAACTTGGATGTGTTCTAATGCAGAGGCATGTTTTACACTGTACAGAGTACAGAAAGTTTTCTTTAACTTATTACCATTTTCTCTCCATTTACAGATATCAGTTAGTATATGGAACAGAATGGCCATTCATCTTAAGATTTTTCACCCTCTGGGTTTGGATAGTTACATTCTTATGGTGTTATTGGTTTATTTTTATGCTCTGATTTATTATTACTGAATGTATGTGCATGATGTGTGCAAGTGCACATATGCATGGGTACACATGTGTCATGGAGTGTGGGCGGAGGTCGGTTTTCTCCTTCCATCTTCATGGGGGTTCCATGGAGCACACTCAGGTTGTCAGGCATATGCAGCTCATGCTTCGATCTGCTGCATCACCTCACTGGGCTCTGTGGTGCTGTTTAACCTGCTCTTCTAGAAGCAGTGTTGTCTAGAAACTGACAGCCAGGTTTGAGTTAGACTTGGGGACAGAGCAGGAATATCTCACAGAGGTAGTTTTCGTTGTCACATCCCATCAAAAGGCCCATGATGTCACATCGTCCTACAGTTTGAAGGTTATCAGAGCTGGGTGCAGTATGCCTGGGCCATCTGTTCTCAGGTTCCACAATGACTTTTCATTGCATTAGTTTGGTGGCATCTGATATCATGGCCAAGATTGATCAGTTCTATTGGGGTTAGCAAATCACTGTCTTCTAACTAGAAGAGTCCTTTGATGTGTATTTATTTACTTTATTTCTTCTAAGGAGACGGGTTTCTCTACTGGTTGTCCTGAAAGAGAGTTCATAAAAGAAAGGCTGATAGTGCTTAACTCTTCCTCCTTTACCAATCAGGAAAGATGTATTAGTCAAGGCTCTTCATAGAAACAGAGCCAGTGAAAAGATGTGGACGGGTAGACAAGGGGAGAATTTGCTAGTAGAACTGGCTTGTGTAATTCTGATGACTGGGAAGTCTCACAACAGACCTCTGCAGGCTGGTGACCAAAGGATACCAGCAGCATTGCTCAATCCCAAGTCTGAGGCCTCAGAGCCAGAGTGGCCAATAACATGACACTTAAAAATCTGGGACCAAAATCCAGAGGATCAGTTTAAGGCCTGGACTCCCAGGGCCATAGAGCCTGGACCGCTGATA